AATCTGTGGTTTCTAGCAGATGTTAACAAAAGGTCTTGCTTAACCCCTTTTGATTTAGGGGTTCATTTTGTTTCATTATATCCTTTCAGTCATAAATAGGAGGAGTTAACTAGATCAGAAGGAGCATGGCTTGTTTCTATACTTAAACCACGAGACACTTTGGCACACTTACAAGACAAATCTAGCACAGAAAGATTTTCAAGTCCCCTTTTCATTACTCGTACTGGTGCTGTCATTTTGCGAAGGCCTGCATCGGATAAACAGTTATCCTTCAGGAGGAGCCTCGTTACACTGAGATGAAAAATAGAAAGTTATTACCTAGGACTTCTTAAGAAAACTGTTAGATTTTAATGTACAAACTCAGAATTTTTTTCCAATCATCCCATCAATCTGTCATTTCTTTAGTGATATTAAAAGGACCACTGAACAAAAGAAGCCACTTTTGGTAAGGCAAACAAGTGTTATGTTCCCATTGCTGGCTCAGCAGAAACCGTTACCTAACACACCATTTCCAGAGTTCTGCTGACACAGGCATATTGGAACATGAAGATTTCTTGACACAGGCCATAAGGTTCTCTATAAATTGATGTTATGAAACATAACTAGTCTTGCCAATTTCAACTCCATTCAAAATTAGGGAAGAAAAATCTTTGCTTGACAAATAAGAAAAGACAACTAGTAGAAGATTGTGGGGATGCTTCTTAAATATAAAAGGAGGTACTGCACACTAGAAAAAAACAAAACCCACAAAGATCTGGAGGCATACTTCCACTGCATCCTCGAAAACAAGGATCTTGAATAACTTATGTGGAAGTTTTAAGTAGCAACAATTATTAATTAAACTGAATTAAGTGATTAGCTTACCTGAGAAAGTTACATAAATTTCTTATTTTAGTAGTTATATATCATTTTAGGAAATACAGTGCAAAAATTAGGAACATCTCATGCTGGCATACAGCATACTTATATACTGATATAGTTAACATTATTTTGATAATGGTTTCTCTCCCAGGAAAATAATATTTAATAGGATAAATCTGTAACTGTTGGAAGCACTAAGGTTTGCAATACATATGAACAAAAAATGAAATATAAAACCAGCTGGTCTATCTGTTGGCCAGCAGAATACTTTTAGTTCTACTCTTACAAAACTAAAGAATTACTTTTAATGTTAAATATATGCTTTGAATGATAGTTAGCGTGTGATTAGTTCTGATGGGTGTCCCCCCGCCGAAGTTTTTATGAACAATTAGAAACCCCACTAATTTCTATCTTACTGCCTGTGAAACTTTCTTTTAAAGGACATGCAGCATGACTCTGAATCCCCTAGTGACCAGAAAACCAAATGCTGCCATTGGTTACATATGTTACTAAACTGGTACCTGGATAGAGCTTCCTTGGTGAGATGTTCTAGCAATTCATGTTCATCTCCAAGTTTGCAGCAGGAAAGATCCAAGCACGTCAGTTCTCTGAAAGATTTAATTTCTTCAAGTTTTTCAGAAATAACCAGGTATCTGAAAAGGGAAAAAGTAATCAACATTTAGGTGCATTACATATAACAGTCCTACAAAGTGCCAAGTACTCTGAACGCTCCCTGGTGCAACACAAGCAGCCAGGCTGCTCTGCAAGTGGAAAACACCCAAAACAAGCAATCTGTTTTCATTACCTAGCCATGCTGTAGTCCACTGGTGCCCGACTCATGTGGCCCACAGGGCTAGAATTGGCAGCAGCAGTGTTAATTACCATGGCTCTCAGAGCCCCAATAGCTGCTGTTCCTCCTACCGCCAAATTTCCAGCCCCATGGGCCAGATGATGCAGCTCTGCACTCTAGATCTGTGTCCCAGAAATCTCGTGGTGGGATGAAAGGCAGCAGCATCGACTGCCGCAGCTCTGAGAGCTGTGCCAATTAACGCTACCACCGCTCGCCACACTGTCAAATTTCCAGGCCCATGGGGAGTGCCACAGGCCAGATGACAGCTGTGAGCTGTACCTTGGTCACCCCTGCTGAAACTATGCAGCGCACACACACTTTCACAGCACTAAGCCTCTGCTTCGATTCCAGAAGTATCTGCTATATAACTGATAAACAGACCTTCTAATTTGTCTGTCTTGCTGGCATCTTATGACCCCTGCTGACTTCCTGCCCTTTGGGCAGGGGGCTGGACTCGATGATCTCTTGAGGTCTCTTCCACCCTAATGTCTATGAAATTCGATGAAATAATTTGCAGAGACCACTATTAGGGTCTCATTTGCACATAAACTTTGTAACAGAATAAGATAGAGCATATATTTCAAGTGTAATAGCTACTTCCAAGTAACTCTACCTATGGACACTTACTCCAAAATAAACGTGTCCTTTTTTGATTTTCCTTAACACATTTCCAAAGTGGCTGTTCCTGAATATCAAGTTTCTCTAGCTGGGATTAACCTAATTCCAGCATCTTTACTTGCCATGTCTGCTGTTTTGTGACCATGTAGAAGTCTTACCTAGGGGGGAGTCAAACTCCCTACCACAGCAGCTCTCCTTCCCCTTTTAAAACCTAACTCAGGAGTATACCAGCAATAAAATCGTTATAGCTGAACCCCAGCTCAGCTAGAGTTAATTGGTTTTTGTTTAAAGATAGATGCCACGTGCTCTAGGACCCATGTTATGGAAAAAAGGGGTCTTATCTGTCTGGCTACCACTGTACTTTTTAAATTTAACTTATACTTCACATGAATACTGTGAGGATTAGTTTTTAAAGGCCCTTACTACACAAGTACTACTTAATTATAAAGAGTTTTGTTAAAAACAGAACTATTCACCTAATCCTTTAGCTGAGGTTGCAAAATGGAGTAATGCAGATTTGGAAGATTACCTGAGTTATGTTTCTGCATCACAGGCCCAAGAATTAAACCTTGTGCTGTTTACCTACGACACTCGATGGCTCACACAACCCCAGATTAAATCACACCTCCAAGAAATGAGTATACAATGCCCTCTATACTAGCATTTACTCTACAAGAACAAGAGGCCAGGAGCAGTAGAGCAGGCCAAAGGATCCGGCACCCATAAAATGAGACTGAAATAATAGAAATGCATCTATGCTTTTTTGGGGAGTGGGGGAAGAGACAGGAGAATAGTTAATTGAACAAAGCCTTGAATTCAAGTCCTATCAGAGCTTGTGGACAGAGGGGATCTCTTTTATTAGACCAACAAGATCTTTGCAAAAAAATGTCTTTAATCACAAGCTTTTGGGCACAAACACCCTAGACCAACACAGATTTCCCTTACAAAAAACAGTCTTTAATTGCAAGCTTTTGGGCACAAACGCCCTAGATCAATACAAGCTTCCCTCCAAAAACATTTCCTTAATTGAAGCTTTTGGGCACAAACACCCTAGACCAAAACATGTTTTTCTTTAAATCACAAGCTTTCCAGTACAAGCTCCCTAAAACCAATACAGGTTTTCCTTGCAAAAACATGTCTTTAATTGCAAGCTTTTGGGGCCATAAACTCCCTAAAACCAATACAGGTTTTCCTTGAAAAAAGAAAAAAAAAAAGTCTTTTAATTGCAAGCTTTCGGGCACAAACACCCTGGACCAAAAAACAAAATGTCTTTAATTGCAAGCTTTTGGGCACAAACACCCCAAAACCAACACAGGTTTCCCTCGCAAAAAAAAATGTCCCTAATCGCAGGCTTTCGGGCACAAACGCCCTAAAACCAACAGTTTCCCCTCAGCAAAACCCGTGGTGAATCGCAGGCTTTCGGGCCGGGCCGGGCCGGGCCGGGCCGGGCGGGTG